CAGGGCATACCTGGGCCAGCTCTGTGACTGTATCTGCATCCACAGTGGACATATCCACGTAACACTTCCCTGGGCGAATCCCCTGCAACACTCCACTTGGACCAAGCACCAGCTGTGGAGAACAGAAGAGGGGTAAAGCAATAGGGTGTCTGCAGAGAAAGCCCAACCCTGCAGGGCAGGGAGTCCAGGTGAGCCTGCACTGCAGTGGCAGACTCACAGAGGGTTAATTTTTACACAGAACCATTTGTGCTGGGACATTTATTTTTACACAGCTGCACTGCTCAGCATCTGCAGTGACCCAGGCTGCTGTGCTTAGCAGGAATCAGAACTGGCATTCAGCGACTGCACCTTGTAGTCTAACCAGCAGAGGTAAGAATAAGAGCTAATCCTTACATCCTTTGCTGCTTTTGGATCTGATACACAGGCAAAGGTGATGTCACAGGTGGAGACAACTTCAGCAGGAGTTCTTCCCAGCCGTGCCCCCTCCTGGATGAACAAATCACACTGCAAAAGGCACAAATCCAAAGGTAAGACAAGTTAAGTGCAGAGCAAATGGGTTCTTTGCATTTTGCTGAAACAGACTCCACACAGCTCCTCTAAAGGAGTTAATTACACAGCAACTTGGTTGTCTTCTGTTGTCCACACACACAAACACACAAGGGGCTCTTTTGCAGCTTTTCTGAAACCTCAGGTGAAGAACTTTGAAAGAAAAACAAAAGCAATCAAAACACTTAAGTGAAATACTATGAATGTTGTGGGTTTGGGAAGAGAGATTAGGGAAAATAAAAAAAGGACATAGCAAAAGGTGTTACTGGACAGCAAACAGGAACAGGCACAGCTGAGACTGATGTGTTTCAGTCGGATGCTACTTCTAACTCTTATCTCCTTATCACCCTATCCCCTCATACCAGCTATGTTTGGCTGTTAAACAAGTTATTTCTTTAATCTCTTTTAACACAGTAAACACAGTGCCCTTCCTGCTTTGACATACCACAGCATCATTCAATCACCACATCTCCCCCCAGTTACCTACTTTTCCTCTACTATGAAGAATAACACTGTCCAGAATACAAGTGCAATCCAAGCTCCATTTTCCCTCTAAATGCCCCTACAAAACCCTTCTCCTGGTCTCATAACACAGCAGGTTTTCAACAGAACTCTTGTTAACAGAGTCACTGCATGTTTAGGAAACATTTAAGCATGTGCCTACCTTCTCAGCAGTTCGGTTCCAGACAGTGACAGTGTGACCCATCTTCAGCAAGTTGGAGACAATGCCACTTCCCATCAGACCAAGGCCCAGAAATCCTATCCTGAGGGGTAGACATGAACATTAATGCAAGAGAAATCAATCCGTGTCAGTCTCTCATGGTGTTGGAAATGATTAAGAGCAAACTCCGGACAATCATCAGCACCAAAAATAAAAAAAAAAATCCCTAAATATGTTCCACTGCAGCCACAGCTAGAATGGGCAGATATTGAGCTTTAAAAGCAAAATGGGATTGATTTTGCTTACGAAGCTTCCCTAACAATTTCCTGAAGTAAATCTACAGTCTACTTCAGAAAAATACTAAAAATATTAAAGGTCTGGGTTCTTTTGGTTTGTTTGTGGTTTTGTTTGTTGGACAAAAACTGCTGTTTGTGCACTTTGTGTTGCCAGCCATTGCCCTACTGAAGATAAAGGGAACATTTAGAGATAAGCAGGTGCTTCTCTAATTAATCTCCTGGTTTTAAAACTGTCACACGTACCATGCCTGCTTATCCAACTGAATGAGACATTGCAATATTCATTTTAATAAAGTCCAGCAAGGACCACCGGGCTAAGCCTCACACACAGACCAAAAACAGTCCCTGCTCTACAGCTGCAATTTCAGACACAGGAAGAAAGGAAGTATTAGGCCAGTACAGGTCACCATGAGTCCCACACATCAGCTGCCTTCCCCCAAGCCTTCCCCTCCTCCCCCAAGCTGGAAAGAGCTTTGTTTTCCCCATTCAAGAACAAGACAACGTGCCACAACTCACAGCTCTAGGAGAGATTCCGAAGTATTCAGCTACAGGTCTGATGCAACTTCATGACAAACCCTACCTGGAAATTCCCCAGCTCCCTCTACACAACTAGCCACACTACAGCTGCGCTGTGGCCTTCACAAGCCACATGTCCTCTCCCAGCTAGCCATGCTGCCTTTTCTTCCAGCAAACTCATTTAGACAGAGCAGAGCAAGTCACTACACGCTCCTTCCACAGCCCAAACAGAGTCCGCCTATTTCCAAGTCTCTAAAACAACTTTCCCAACCCACCTCTGAGCCACGCTTTCCTGAGAGACTGTTTTACCTGAACAGCTTCATTGTTATTTTGGTTCCCCTGGAGTACAGGTGAGAACTGACATCCCATGAGAACGGCCCCAACGGCAAACAGCAGGAGTGGCCTGAACTCAATTTGAACAGAGCGGAAGTTACAGAGTGAAACAGGAAGCTCAAGTTAGGCTTCTCTCACTCTAGAAAGGAGAAGGGGGTGTTAGAACAAACCACAAAGCTCATGTGCTACACACCAAAGCTCTGGTGATGGGAGAACACGCCTCCCTCTTCCTCTTCTCTTCTACATGCTCAGGAGAGAGATTAAACAACCCCAACCAACTGCCAGGCTGCTCAACTGAAGACAGATCCCCTTTTATCTTCCTGCCTCATGCAACGCTCAGGAATATTGCTGCTCATGTCCTGCAGTGGGACCTACCAGAGAGGGCAACTGCAGAAACGCCTGAATTCCACTTGTATCCGGGCCAGACCTTACCCTGAGTTTTGTACTGTACAGCCCCACTTGTTTTTAGCTGCCTCTCTCCCCTCTTGCCCCCCAGAGTTTCACACAAGGACAGAGATGTGTAGTTGGAGGAAAATGTTAGGTTTATTCATTCTCAGTGACAGGCTGGACAGTGGCTGCATGTGTCAGCTGGGAAGGAGAGAAAGAAAGGGAAATGGCTGAAGTGTGTTGAAGATCTTACTTTTTGTCTGTAGGCGTAATGCTGCCATTGACTGCTGTGCTGTCTGCTGCCTGGATGGAGGTGGATCCTGTTTCCTGGGGAAGTGGGGTGGGAGGGAAAAAAATAATAAAAAAACAGAATGCACAGCTCTGGAGGAACTGCAAGGTCTCATGACAATAAGGAAAATCCACCAAACCCAAGACTCCTCTTACCTCTTCACAAACTTTCAGCTTCTTTGTGATGGCTTGATAGCAGACAGCTGGCTGTATGGAGAAGACAAAGCATTCAGGGCAAGGATAGTGCTGATTTGCTCTGCTGAGCAAACAGACCATATCCCTGTTCCACAGAAACAGGCAGCAAACCCAACCACCATTATCTGCAAAGCAGGACAACTCAAGGGGAGAAAATACAACCATAAAACCTATTGCAACATATTAAGGTTGTCCTTTCCCAGCCTGCCCCAGCAATTCAGCCTGTCTTCTAATAGAGGCACTGCAAACTCCCTTCTGTAGTTCCTATGATGTCTCCTCTGGAGAAATGAGGACCCAGGGAGTCCCTCCTCCCACGCTGAGCTCTCTGAAGCCTGCCATGAAGGACCTGGCCTCACATCTATGCTCACTGTGTCTCTGAGGCTGTGGAACCAATACCTTCTGGTTAGTATGAGACAGCACGTGGCTTTCCACTAACACCAAGGCAAAGGCAAAGGCTGTGAGCTTGTCTAGATTAAAACTGTTAGCTGCTCTTAATCCTTCTGGCTCTGCCCAGATCCTCAGCAAGATATAAATCCTTTTACACTTAATTTGATCTTTCCTCTTCCTCCTGATGTTCGCTGTTGAAGATAAAATCCTGTGAGGCTTCTGACTCTCAGGAGATAAATTTGCTGTATTTTACAAGGAGCTTTTCTGGTCCTGGAAAAATTCTCCTGCAACATTCAGTAAATTGACAAGCCCATCCAGATGAAGGAATTGGTAGGACAACCATCAAAACCAATCAAACAACAGGGTTTCAAAACAGAAAAACAGCTTTTCCTGCTCATCAGTGTTCATCCAGCAGAATTTATTACAACAGATCTGACAGAACCTGGTGCTAGATAACCTTTAACTACTTAAACTATTCACTGCTAAATCACTCTAAACATTAAGGCTGGGAAGTAGTTGAACTACAAGATTGCAATCTAATTCCCATTAGCCCCCAAAGAACACCATTCCAGAGCTCTTTACACATCCTCCTTGTCCTCAGTCCCAGCAAAGGGCAAGATGCCAAGCTAAACAGACCAGCAACATGATGCTCTCTGCCAAATCCTCACCTTCTCTGTCTGGCTCAGCAGAAAGTGATGAAAGTGTGGATCACTGTCCTTCACAGGCTACAAAGAGAGAAAGCACAGCTTCAGAAACACTCCCAGAGAGTCACTGAGCAACCACAGCACAATTCCCTTGCTCTCCCAAGGGAGCATGAGAAGCATGAGAACAATAGCTTAAGGTGGAAAATATAAAATGTATCAGCTGCCCCAAGCAGCCTGTTTCAATTATGCAGTTGACATTTTGTTTCATTCCCAAAACCAAAGCCATTTAAACCAAATTCCTCATTCTTTTTGGACATCTGTAGGAAAACGAAATGAGATTATGAGCAAGATTAACATGGGAGGAAGAAAACTCATATCCTGCTTCTTCCTCTCCCAAGGGAATGACAATACTTATTTTCCAGCTCCCAAGGAACAACTTCAAACAGCATTGTGGGAGTTGGCTGGAGATTATACATTGCAGTGCCCCATGCCAGGCAAACCCAAGGACTGCAGGCCCAGGCAGATGAGCAGTGTACACACTAGCCTGGAGTCACTGCTCTTGCTCTGCCCTTCTCATCACTTATTCATGCACAAAAATGAAAGGTTTACGAAGCTGCTTATGAAGAAAACCAAATGAAACCACCCCATATCCAGAGAGGGAGTGACTATCCACATCACCTTCAGTTTTGGGCAGCCAGTCCCAGAAATACTTCTGAAACAAGAAGTGCAAAAACAAGTACAGCAAGTGAAGTGTAAATCTGCAAATGGCTCCACAAAGACTGAAATCTCACTTCCCAGCACACTTCTCAACTGCCCAGGATATTGTCCCACTGTTACACTGCAGAATGACAGCAGGAAGATAAGATCCCACTGGTTTACAGCCAGACAAGGAGTTGTAGATTTGCTGCCACAAACTCAGTTCCTAGACCACCTATGTTGTAAAGCTTCTCACCTCGCTCACGCTCGGTGGCCATTTAAATCCAGCCACTGTTCCAGTCATCACTCTCTTCACTGTACTTGACTCTGGAATTGTGAGGTCCTGAGGAGACAGAAGGAGGATCAGAAAGAGCTTACAAGCTGGCTCAGGGGCTGGCCACAGCACGTTGATCATATGAGCACACATACAGAGTTCTGAAAGCACCACAAACGCCTTCCACGTCACACCTTTCCATGAGTGTTCATATTTAACCACAGTGCAGAACCATTACAGGTGAGGTGAGGAAAACATGAACTGCCAATGAAGGAATTCAACCACAGTTATGGCATCTGGAGAGTCCATTCTTCATACCTAAGAGGAAACATTGCACTTGTACACTCAGTGCAATGAGCAGAGAAGCAAACGAACACACTTGATCCAGTATTTTCCTCTGGTGGATGCAAAAAGCTTAACAAATGGGTGAAGAACATCATTACAGTTAGAGGTCTGAACACTTCTAATCCTCCCCCACCATAAAACAGCCTTCCTGTTATCAGGAGAACCTCCAAAGCATGAGGCCCACAGCCATATCTGCTCAAGTCTGCAGAACCCAGGAGTCAAACTGGTATATGGGCTGCCCCATCCACCCTGTAATGCAATGCCATGATAGTACTGAACACATCAGGGCTTTTACTGTTGAGCAGGCTAAAATTTATCTTTTATTTCCCCAAGATATATAGATTAAAATAGGTCTTTACACCACAGGTCATAGCCATATGCTATGGACATACAGGTGTTTGTGCTACATGAAGAGAATGAGCAGGAGTTCTGCATACCAAGTGCTGTCTGCCTGAAATGAGTGTTCAGAAATGGAATCACATTATCTCCCCTCCAAAATTACCTCCTGAAAATGCACAATATATTTTCGTGTCCACACAGAAGCACAAGGAAGAGAACTGTTTGCAAAAAAAGGTCAGAGCAAGACTCCTGGAGGTTACCCAGACTGATGCAACTGTCCAAGTTTTAGCAGGGACAATGCAAACATCAGTCTAAGTGTCTAGGGAGAGTCCTGCACACTAAAATTCTCTCCTTAGAGACCATGCTGCTGTTTCAGCCAGTAAAGCGTGGATGAATCCTGCTCTGCTATCTCTGAAGCTTGATTGGTTCTCTGAAAATATTCACATAAGCTTAAAAATGAGAGTATATGAATGATCATACATGGCTAGAGAGCCTTCCTAGATAGAGCACACCTCAGCAACAACTGGATTCTTGAATTTTATGCATCCCTACTGCTCAAAAAGTCAGAATTTGGACTACAACGAGGCAAAAAACCCCAAATCCCAACACCATATTAAGTCAGGCCAACAACATCAATGTTTCTACCTTAGGGCTAAGAACCTGGGGAAATTGTGAGCACCAGGCAAGAAGACAAGACTTTAAAATTATTTCACAGGCCGAAAAGCATTATTAAGGCAGCACTGTTACATTTGCATGACATTTTCTTTGTCACTTGCAGAAGCTACAGGCTTACTTTCCTACCTTACCTTGCTTGCTGTGCTGGTCTGTGGCCAGGCACTTATCACACAGCTGGCCACCTCTTTGTGGTAAGTCTAAACCACTCTGCTTGCCATGTGCCAGGAAAATAATGTTTACTACCACCATTAACTCACTTGAAGGACTGTGGTGCCCTGAGTGAGCGAACACAATCACACCTAAGCATGCAATGTGTCAGCACAATCAGAATTCTCCCAGCTGTTAGTTTTAATCAAGTTTGGAGGGAACCTAGCTCAAAGACACAGAAGCATTTTGCAAGTGGAAAAAAGGCCCTGTGGCTTATTCTAACAGAAGGATGTGGAGACACAACGTGCCCAAAGGAAGACACTGAGGAAAGTGAAAGTTATGTTGCCAGTGAAGCGATTTCCTGAGTCAGTCAAGTCGCAGGTTCTGTAAGGATCAGCTGGAATTCACAAATATGCATCCATTCCTCCCTTCCAAAGAAGAAACTGATGGGCTTTGTTATGCAGCCTGATGACACAGATGCTGGCTTTAAAAAAGAGCAAGTAGATCCTTCAACTCCTTAAGAGTTGGACTCGATGATCCTTGTATGTTCCTTCCAAACCAGGATATTCTACGACTCTATTCTATGAGATGATCAGCTTCATTTTGTGACATCAAGAAAGAGTTTGCTGTTCAGCCAGAGAAGGCCAATCTATTCACAGTTCTGGAGAGCAAAGACCACCATCCTGACTTGCATCCTGAGGTGCACTGGAAACAAAGACTGAAGGACAATGTGATTCCTTTGAAGCACAGGTGAGCAGGCAGGCTGCAGCACGGCGTACCAGTTCAAGTCTCCCAGTCTTCTTCAGGTGTAGTCTCCAATGGAATATGTGCCTTGTAATAATCAGTTCAAGTCTCCCAGTCTTCCTCAGGTGTAGCCTCCAATGGAATATGTGCCTTGTAATAATCCACCAAAAATAATTATCCATTTGGAAAAGGAAGATCTGGACCACAACTGCAAGTTCCACAATAAAAGGGCTGGAAATCTGGATGAGGGTAGACAAAGTATTGGTTGCTATCACCACTGCCACGACATCTAGAAATATCAGGTTAGTAATGGGGATAAAATACTGCTCCAAGGTTGGACCTTTATAATGGAGGATGGAAATAAATCCTACAGCACAGACTCTGAAACAAGTATGATTAATTCTTCTGGTAGATTCCCCAGGCTACTAGAGTTTCTTCTTAGACTCTGAAACAAATATGATTAATTCTTCTGGTGGATTCCCCAGGCTACTAGAGTTTCTTCTTTAAGCCCTAGCCCTTAAGAATACCTCACCCTCTGTCAGTACTGAGGGTGAAGTTGAGTGACTACTGATCATACAAAGTAGAAGAGATGGGATAAGTCAGGAACCAGATGAAGACCTGCACCTCTTCGCCAATCCCACACAAACTGAACTCAAGGGATGGCAAGATGAAAGGTGGAGTCTTGTGATCCAGCTCTCAAAGCCCTCTCAAAGATACGAACAGAGCCACTCACAGTAACTAACTAGTAAAAAAACACAGGAAGAATCAACAATATGCTTGCCAAAGGCATCCGGCAGCCAAATGGTCTAGAAGTAGCAACATGGAACAGATCAAAAAAAAATGGGATACTGAACTGACTCTTCCTGCTGGCCTGTTAGTCAAGGTGCCAGCCAGCCCTCAAGTCCAGCTGCCAAGTCCACAGGCACTGGCGGGGACATGCACAACACAAACCTTCTCATCCTTGGGCGGACGCCCCCGCTTTCGGGGGCTCTGATCCTGGGCTCTTTTCAAAGGTGACTTTGATCCTCTCTCTGACGAGACAGAAGAGACCCTCTTTTTTCCTTCCCCTGTGCCCTTCTTCACCTTTCCTTCAGACAAACTGGCTTTGCGTTTCTCTTCACCAGTGGCTTGCTTGCCTCTCTCTTCACTGGAATTACACCGATTCTTCTCTTCAGTGGAGTTATGGGAAGACGCCTGAGAGATTACAGAATAGAAGATGGTAAGGAAAGAAGAGAAGAGATGGAATGATTTTCATGCAAAACCAAGGATGTGAAGGACCCTGTGCTGATTACTACCAAGCAAAACAACAGCACAGTAACTTGAAAACTAGGTATCTGTTAGCCCTTTGGAGTCAGTGAGTGAAGTTCCTGGTTAGTTCTCCTGCAAAAACACACCAGTTTAAGCAAGTGAGTAACAGAACAGGCCACCTGAAGACTTGCTGGGAGTGTGTGTACTTCCAACACACTAAAGACAAGATTAGTAGATACCAAATTCTAGTCCAAGACTTGAGACTGATCTACCAAATCATCACAAGCAGATCAAATAGCCTCTTCAGTTTCTCCATCAGTTTAACTTTTTTTCCCACCAAACAAGATGACATGGGGAAGAAGAGAGTACAGGAAATAAACCCCAAACACAAAAGGAATGAAAATGAACCCCCCTCAACTTGCCATAGGCAACAAACTCCTTTCACATAAAAATGCATTTAACCACCACTCATGCCACAACCTGTTTTGATGCACACAGTGAAAAAGAACCCGCTCACCTGGTCTTTGCCTTTGGTTTTTCTAAGAAACTCCTCTACAGCATCCACGGCTTGCTGGAAGCGCTTACCCTTGTTAATCTTGATCATTTCCTCTTTGTGAGCATGATAAGGCTTCAGCTGCTCCACTTTGATCCAAGCACTTGAAACAAAAGAAGAAGTTAGTTATACTCTAAGCACTGTTCACATTCTCTATCAGCAAGTCAGCTTTTGGCTGTGATCACAGGACAACCACAGTCCCACACTCCTCATAAGGTAGCCAATAACATCAATCTGCCCCAGAGGTTGTTGAAAGTTTTAAATAACCTGAGCTAGGATAGCCAACAGTGCTTCTTAGCGCACAGCAAAACCAAGGCAAACATATTTTCTCTTGCCCCCAAACATCTCTGTTACATTGACTAGCCATGACCACAGGTTTAAATATTCTCTCTCCAGTGCAGTCTGTCTAGCTCCTGTGAGCAGGTGAAGTCATTTTCAGACACTGTAAGCACCATGTCATAAAGTCAGAATCACAGACTAATTAAGGTTGGAGGAGACCTCTAAGATCATTGAGTCCAACTATTAACTTGTCACTCTGTTGTAACCCCTAAACCAGATCCTCCAGCACCAGATCCAAATGTCTCTTAAACACTTCCAGGGATGGTGACTCCACCACTTCCCTGAGCAATTCCCTATTCCAGTGCCTGAACACCCTAACAGGGGAAAACACTTTTCCTAACATCTAATCTGCCTCTTCCCTGTCTCAGCTTATGACCATTCCCCTCTAGTCCTCTCCCTGCAGCCATGGCAGGAGAGACCACCAAGTGATTACCACAGTTGTAGAGAGCCATGAGGTCACCTCTGAGCATCAGACTGAGCTTTGCTTAGCAACTAAGTGGGTTTTGAGCTAGGGAAAAGAAGCAGATTCCACCAGGTGGGATAATTCTTTTTATCATGCCCATTTCCTCTCTTACACAACTGTCTCAGGTGCAGAAACTCCCCCCCAGGCCAGGTATCAGGACATTCACAGGTAGGCCTGAAGGTATTCATCCCTTCTGATAAGACACAACTGACTCAGCTATGCTGGCATGAGACACAGCCACCATGTCTTAGAAGAGATCATAAACCATCACAGAGCCCTGAAAGACTCTGGACAATGCTCTCAGGCTCATGGTGTGATTGTTGGGGTGTCCTGTGCAGGGTCAAGAGTTGGACTTGATGATCCTTCAGGGAATCCCTCCCAGATATCCAGACCTTACAGTGAAACACACCTTAAAATTCTCTTACACTGTAAAGCTCACTTGTGTGACACTCAGTGACAAACATCCCTGAGTACCACACAGCAGAGCCTCATGACAAGCCTTTCATTATGTGTATAAGTGAAACCAAATTTTGAAGCACACTATAAAAAAACATGTGAAATGTGCTGCAGGATTGAATTTCTAAATAAAAATAACTTGTTTCTATCAAGGCATTCACTTAGGTTTCTGCACATCCTATCCCTCCTCACTGCACATGTTCCTTAGTTTCCTTTCTCATTCCTTTTCCTTTGGTAGGAAGAAAGCCTGAAGCACAAAGCTTTCTGGTTCCTGGCTTGGAAGGCACATCTTGGCACTTGTCATCCACCTGGAAAAAGAGCTAGAGATTTCAGAGACAAACTAAAACATTAATAACAATCTTAAATGCTGCTGCTTCAAATAAAAACAAATTTAAAAAACCCAAAAACTGGGCTCTTCCTTTCCAGTTAATTCTTTGTGCATCACTTCAGATGCCCACACTAAATGCTAACACAACCAGTTCTGGAAGTCAAAAGTAAATTGCTTGGTTATTTACAAGCCCTGTGTGTGTGAGTACACACCAGAAATCAAGATGGGTTTCCTTCTGTTAAAAGGGAATGTCTCAGCCTTCAGTAAAATAAATAACTGAACTCTGGAATTTGGTATGTAAACTTCTAGGAAAAAATACCAAATTGACCAGATTAATTTAGAATAAAGGAGGGGATACTAAGCAGAGGAAAACAAGCAGCAGGGCAATGCTGGAAGAAAATCTAAGTATTGGATTTTTCAAATGTGTGCTATAAAATACCTTCTCAGCAAGAGGTGAGTTCTGACTCCAGTGGTTTTCAGCCATGGCACTGTGCCTGCAGAGAGGTCTAACACCATTTCAGGTGGCTCTGCTAGTCACACCAAGCTCCACACAGGATAATCTGCCTCACTGAGGAACACATGGCTCACTCTCTCCATCAGCTCAGCCTATCCCTGTGCTCCTCAGGCTGCCAAGGTGTACACACAACACTTGGCAAACTCTAAGCAAGTGTTTTCTGCCGTCAGGACCTGAAAGAACATTTTAGAAAGACTACATCCAGAAATTTCTCTCTCCTTGAAAACCATGGGGAACAGTGGCAGAAGAAAAGGGTAGGTGTTTGCATCCCAACAGGATATGGAAGATGGGAATGCAATGAGTGCTGTGCTAAAATCACTGTGCCTGATGGAAAACAGGCTGCAGATTATTACACTTATCTTGGATTGCAATCTTCCTCCATTTTTCCTTAATATATCAAGTCAGGAAGTGCCCCTTGACCCCACCACATTTAGTGAGACTATTGAGTTTGGCACTGGTGCTTCAGAAAGGTTGTGAGTAAGAATGGGCTGCTCCAGCTTCCTGTTCAGACTCTGATATATGTGACTTGCAAGTCCATTTGGCTGTTAGGGAATATCTAAGGGGGAGGAGAGGGGGAAGGGAGGAGAATATCTGTGTTTGTACACACATCTCTGAGAGCTGCAGGACTCTCCCTAGTATTTCTGGAGAATCAGAGTAGCAATGATATTTTTAGCTCTGACAATGCCAAAATGAATTCCCAAAGCTGGCCATGAAATGCAAAAGTACTTTGAACTGGATGAAGCACACGAAGAAAGACTTGTGTGTGCCTGCCAGTCTATTAGCTCTAACTCTTAAAAGCAATAAATGCATGTGCATTGCAATGTGTAAGTTCTTATGTTGCAGTATTTGACTACTGGAGTATCTGCAAAGATTTTCTACAATGAGACTATAGCATGGGAAATGAAAGGGGATCTTACAAACTATCTGAAACACAGATAAGAGGTCAAAGTTCCACTTCTATTTAGAATGACTAAATTAAAACTGCTTAGACTCCCACAATGGATGTTGTTACATGCTTACAAAGTCTGTGGGCAGGAACATCAACTCTTCTTGATTTCAGATGAAGAAACCTTTTAATGTGAGTTACTCTAAGCAGAGACACTCAGAAAAACAACTCCTAGGCAGACTAGAAAAATCTCCTTATTCATTTGGAGAAAAAGGTAATGAACAGACATTATATGAGTGTGTGCATCACCATTAAGGCAATCACTGAGAACAGGACCTGGATATTACATCACTGCTGTGAACATTGAGGTGCCTTTTATTGTGGTAAAGCACATGTGTATTTCAGTTTAAATACAAGCAAATTCTGCTTCCCAGGGTAGAGAATCCTGATCTGCCAGAAAACCTGTTCCTTTGTAAGTGACAGAAGCAATTAACACCACCACCACAACCAGCATAGGGAGCACAGAGCTCAGTAGAAAATGTATTCAAAGCCAGGCTTAGAGACAATCTGAATGCACTCATGCTCTCACTTGGGTGTCCTAGGCCAAAACTACTCAGTCCTCCAGTTAGTCTATTCCCTTAGTCACTGCAGCATTGCACCAGGCCAGTACATGTCAGTATTCAACTCACAGAAAAAGCAAAATGCTTTTCCTCTGTGCTGTATCCTAAGCTAGCCAAAATTTCACAAATGACCAGAACCTACACACTACACCAAAACCACTGCCAAACTCCTCAGAATGTTTCTATTCATCCCTTGGCTCTGCTCAGACACAAGCACACCCATTTGTACTCCTAAGCAGCATTCTCCTTAACCTTTGGTACAGCAAACCAGAGCCCTATGAGCCAGGAGGGAACAATCTGCACCTAGCCTGGAACAGGGGAGTTTCTGGCTGCAGCAGGCACCTAGGGGCCCTCAGAAGAGAGTCAGACTATCAGGCCTGAGCTTGCCTACCCCTCCACAAACTGCCTGGCAACAACCTGCAGAAGCCTGTGAGGATTCTACCCAGCAACCAGCACTGCCCTCACCTTACACACTCTGGGCAGGAGGCAAACAGTTGATGTCCAGATCCTCCCCTGTCCAACCTGCCAGGGTGAGGCAGCACTGCCAAGAGCTGCAGCAGTGGATCTGTGGCACTGCAATGTGTGAAGGTGATGGGGAGAGCAAGGAACAAAAGCAACATGCACTAGGCTATCACTATGGATAAGTGTAGCCATCACCCCTCAGCCAGGGACAGCTCTGCACTCTGCTACTCCTCAGCCTGTGACATTCTCTCAGTTACCCATTTCCAACTACTGTTTCTACACACCTAAAAAAGTCTTTGCAAGACCCATTAGTTTCCTTGCATAAAATAAGTAAAGGGATTTCTCTTCATGCTCACATTTCAAGTGAAGTCATTTAAATTCTTCCTGATTTGGTTGGTTGAATATGCTCAAAAGATCAGCATCTTCTCAAGCACAGCACACTGGTTAGAACAGCACAGTTCTAACTAGCACAGCCTTTTAAAATACCAAGGCAGGACAGAAGAGGCATAGAAGCTTCTCTCCCTTCTGTCTATCTATATTATTTTAAAGGACAGGGGATGGCACTTATTTCTATTTAATTTTCAGACAGGGTATGCCGGTCAAAGCAAACAAACTCCTAATTCATGACTAACTAGTAGGAAATGAAGTTTCACAACCTGGAGATGGAGGGAGGGTTGACACTACACCAACCACACTACCTGACTGTGCCAGACAACTGGATTTGCCCCAGACAGAGCTCTAGAGTACTGTAATAAATCCCAACTCTTTTGCAGCTCTGAACTCTCCCTTTGCAATCACATTGTTAACCTCAGCTGCAGCACCTCAGACATTTGACCACTCTTCCCAAACTTCTCTTAATACAAAACAATCTCTGTATTTGATCCAATAATGCACAAGACAAGACCTGAGAACACCAATCAGAACAGAAGTCGTTCATCTCCTCCACCTTCAGGGCCTAATAGCTCAAAAAAGTATCTTTAACAACACCACTACTATCAAAAAATCCTCTCTGCCCTCAAATCAACCTCCACCTGCCTCAAGTTACTTGAGATCCAAATGTTCCCATTAGGATGCAGCATTAAATATTTCCAAATATTGAACAAAAATAAACTGTCAAAAATAATTCATTAAATGGTCTCAGTTCTTGCTACCTTTTTCCCAAAAAGTAAAGGGTTTTTTTAGGCTTCTGCAGATATTTGCAATTTTATTCTCTATTGCATGAGTTAATGTGAAATAACAGAAAATATAGGGGAAAAGTGAAAAAAAAGCAAAATAATTTTCAGCTTCAAGAAATAACCAAGTTCTCAGGGTTTTTTCCTCCTAGTTAGCAATTATTTGAATCTAAGACAATTCTGGTTTTGACACATTTGAAATCAAGAGATTGTGCCTTCCAAAAAGGAGGTCTACAACACTTTTGGCTTCCCTGGATTGTAAAGTCTTCCCAAAGCACAGCAAGAATGTTTTCAGTCCCCAGGTAGGGCAGGAAATTCTTTCACAAAGGGCAAGCACAGAGTTATTTTATTCCTCTGGCAGAAAAACAAAAGCATACTCTGAGCTGTCCCTTCTCACACATGGTTAGATGCTAAAACATAACACAGTCAGGTCACATCTGCTCCCCTAGAAATGGCAAACTACCAAAGACTTCCCCTCACAGCAGCAACCCAAACCCTAACCTATGTGAGTCTTTACAGTCTTCATACACCCCTGGGAGCAGCTACAGCATGCAATAATAGTTGAGGTTTTTTCCTGTGTGGTTCAAAGAGAATCCTTTATGAAGCTACAGTGCACTATGTCAGTAAATATTTCTTCCACGAGAGATCCACATTACACAGCACAGTTTTCCCCAGATGAAAACAAGCAGGTACATACTGATCTTCTGTTCCAAAAAACTTCACAAAGAAGCATTTTTTCCCACGAGGTTTCTTCAGATCCTTAGGTGGATTAACAATCTGAAGGTGATTAGAAGTGAAAGTTAAAAAGCACATAATGACAATTTATACTCTGATTTCACTGTCCTGTTTACAGCTAGTGTAGGTTTGGTTTTATTTTTATCTGACTAGGATTATGGGGATGCTGCAACAAACTTCACTGAGACATCACTACATCTGAGTGAGGTTTTCTTCTCCCAGCCCCAACAGGTGAGCCACCTGCCTTTTCTAAGAAAATCTGTTCCACCAAATGAACTTTTAAAATTCCAATTTAAATGTCTTTACTCCCAGAATACATTCTGCTTATTAAGTTTAAAACATGGGTAAAGAGAAAAGCTGTCACTCACAGGTGACACCCTCATTAACCTGACCCAATACCCAACCATTTGTGGTTGTTAGTCACACTGACAGCCCTTTCTCCTGTCTCATGCTTAAGCATGTGTCAGCATGCTTAGCCCTCATACCTACACCAGAAATCAAACAAAGGTCTTTCAGAGAAGTAGAAACAATAGAAATGGCACATTTTCATCAGGAAAAAAAAACCAAACCAACCAAACCAGAACAGAAAGTAAAATTTCATTTTAAAAAGTTTTTCATCAGGAAAAAAAACCCAAACCAACCAAACCAGAACAGAAAGCTTAACTACTCACTACCCCAGAATTAGTACTCCAAAAGTACAGCTCTAGGACAGGATCCTGAGCAGCCAGACTACTCATTTCTGCATTTTAACACAGCACATCCAACCAATTTACTCTGGAAGCAAAGAAACCTGTCTAGCAGAAAGTGACAGGGATTAAGAAACTAAACGTGGGAAACACAATCAGTTCCAGAGCTGCTCTCTCCTGCTTTTCATTCCAGCTGTTAGTGACAGATCAAATAAAGCTCTAAACTGGTTCACTTTAGCTTTGTGGGAGTATGTGTTTAAAAAATAAACAAGAAAACCAGTATTCATCTACAATTGAAATGCTTTCAGGCAAAGCTTTCCCTATACAGAAGGAAAATGCAAAACCAACCAGACAAAAAACCCACACAAACCACCAAAAATGAAGAAAGCAACAATAAAACCAACCAAACAAACCCCCAACCAATCCTTACCTTTCCTGGCCATGGAGGATACCGGCCCAGCTTCCCCCTGGAGAAAAAAGAAAGTGTTAGGCACTAGAACCAGAGGAAAAACAACTATCCCAGTGTCTGTCTTTGCACAGTCTGAGAGCAGAGCAGCCACCATTTCCCAGCACAGAGAGCTGAGCTCTCTCAGCAAAGCTGCTCAACAGGTGTTCTACTATCACTTTCTTCAGGTGTTCACCACCACAGTAACATGTGCTGAAGATACAAAGAATCAGGGGGGGAAAAAAAGCAGAAAAGTTTATTTCCTACACTTACAAATTTCCGTTTTACAAGTTTCCATGAGGAAAACCAGACAAAACTATTTCCTCACAGTGGAGGAAGAGAGATTGGCCTTAGCCCTCAGCTCAGCAGCTTTACCCTTATCTCAGCCTTGCCACTGACCCAGGCTGCAGCACTCACAAACCCTCATCAGTCACAGCCTTGCAAAGACCCTGTGGGGCCCAACACCTCCTGCCACAAAACTCTTCAAGGGGCACTGCAGCCACAGGCAGGAGCACTGCCAAGAGCTGTGACCGTGACCATGTCCCATATCCGTTGTTCCCA